ATCTGTGCATGTCACTTACTACCTGTCAATGTATCTCTAAATAGTATTCTTTTGCAAGTTATTACATTTATATAAGCTGTAATCAAATTATAATTATCCTTCTGCAACTTGGGGTTTTTTTGTTTGTTTGCCACAGTATTTAAAAGATTTACCTGTAGTGATGCACGGAGGTCTAGTTCTTTCATTTCACTGCTGAATGGTGTGCCGTAGCTGCAATAGACCAGGAATTAGATTTGGTTCTTTACCTCAGGGATGTTTTTCCTTTTATTGGATATTATGCCCAATTTCCATCACCTTGATCACACCTCTGACTCCAGCTGCCACTTGTGTGAACAGTTCTACATCTGTTTGCATGCACTTACGCTCACAGCTCCTCATCCTGTCTGAAGCTTGCTGGTCCCAGCCCATACTCACCTCAAGTGCTGGCAGAGTTAACACCCCCAAGGACAGCCCTCAGTCGATGAGGGATAAGCTCCTGCTTCCTATTTTTTGATAGACAATTTTGGTAGACGTTGTATATGTTTCTTGGAAAGGACCGTAGAAATTAAGCCCCCATTGCCTGTAGCAGTGAACTTGATAGCACAATCTTCTATTAACTTTTTCTCCTTCCCTCTCATTCTCCCCAGTCTGTCACTTTGCCCTCAGGAGTCACCTCCCAAATAAACTACCTGCACACAGTCCTTTTCTCAGGCCCTGCTTTTGGGGGGAGCCACGATGCATATCTATGAATACTTTTTATTTTTCTTGGCTTTTGTTGATTCACCTCTATGGCTTCTGATAAGTGAGACCAAAGTAGGAGCCCTGCTAACCGTGGCTGCTCCATGTGCTTCAGGATCTTTTGTATCTTTTCCTTGGCTATCGCTTTGTGAAGAGTATGGCTTTGGACTGTGTCTCTCTGTCCTTATGTATTTGCTGCTGGAGAACCAATTCACCTGTCTTCCTGTCTGCTTGCTGCTTTGCTGCTCTTCTTTTGTATTTTAGGGACACCGGTTATCCTAAGGTTGGGTTATCTCGTACCCACTTTTATTTATTTTTCTCTGATTGATTTAATCTCTCTTTTAAAAAAATCTGTATTCTCTGATTATCTTAGCCCTTTCTGTGTCATACTTTTATTTTCAGTTATGGCTGTTGTCTTCCTTTGTGTTTCTTAATTATTCTATAATAAAAAATATTGGATCATCAATTTATTTATTTGATTTTTAAACTCCGCTTTTATCTCACTTTGTTGTTTTTCCATCTTGCCTCTTAGTTCTTGTTTATTATCTTGACATTTCTGAAAATTCCAAATCTTGAAGCACTCGTGAAGAATGTCTTTGTACTCAGGTTATATTTTCTTCTTGACAGAGTTCTTCAGTCTCCCATTTGCTGCATCTTCCATTCTGTCTTTTTCTCTGTCTTTCATTGTGTTCCTTGCTCTCTCTCACTTTGTTTGCCTCTTTGTCATGCCTTTTCTTTTTCATCTTGCTCGTGCTTGACAGCTGTGCTCAGTCTTTCTATTTGTTCACACGTTGTGTGGGTGACTTCTTTACTCTCCATATCAGATTTATTCTTGGCTCTCCTCACTTTTGTGATTGCAAAAATATAAACTCTGCTGCTTTCCGCTCCACTTTTGTCTCTCCAGTAGGTCATGGTGACTTGTACACATTACTCCTGAACTCTGACTTGGCATATTAAGTTTTTGTTAGCCCTGATATTTTTTCGTCTTCCTGTAAAAGTTCCTCCTCTGATTCTTACTGCCCATGAACACCATATCAACATTCGTTCCCTGTAATTGGGGGATGTATTGTGTCTCCACTGGGGAGGCCCTCGGTGTGCTGCCCTGGAATCTTCACTTCTGCTAGATAGTGCTGGAATTCCCTTCTCTGTTTTAGTCATTATTTCCCAGAGCACTAACATCTCTCAGCCATAGATGGAAAAAATAATGGAATCCATTCAATTTTTTCTCTCCAGATTTGGGGTATTAATGAGAATTGTTAATTCAAGTTCGGAGCCTTTGCCAAACAGGCCTTCTCCGTTCCTCTTCAAAATCTGCTTTATCTTTCCTTGGCTATCACTTTTGAAGTTTATAACTTTGGGCTATGCCTAAACTGTGTAGTTGCTGCTGGAGAACCATCCAACCTATCTGTTTACTACTTACCTTTCTTCCTTTCTCCCCTCCCTCCATTCTTCCTTCCTTTTCATTTTAATTTGATACTGAGTGGGAGTTGGGAGGTGGCAGATTATGTAAAGAAGCCTTCATTCCACTATTTAATCCCAGAGTTCTTTCCCTTTGGGTTTTGTTTTGTTGTTAATTGTGGGAAAATATGCATAATATAAAATTGACTGTCTTAACCATTTAAAAAAATTTTTTTTTTAAGATTTTATTTTTTTCCTTTGTCTCCCCAAAGCCCCCCAGTACATAGTTGTATATTCTTCGTTGTGGGTCCTGCTAGTTGTGGCACGTGGGACGCTGCCTCAGCGTGGTTTGATGAGCAGTGCCATGTCCGCACCCAGGATTCGAACCAACGAAACACTGAGCCCCCTGCAGCAGAGCACGTGAGCTTAACCACTAGGCCCCGGGGCCAGCCCCTGTCTTAACCATTTTTAAATGTGCAGTTCAGTGGCATTAAAAACATTCACATTGTTGTGCAACTGTTACCACCAACCATTTCCAGAAATCTTCATCTTGCAAAACTGAAACTTTGTACCTGTTAAACAATAACTCCCCCCCCTCCTGTCCTCCTCTTTCTTTTTGGTTTTTTAATTTATATCATGTAAGAATGTTTCTGTGCCTTTGTAAAACTGTTGAGGATATTTCTATTTTGGTGTTCAGATCTTCACATGAATATAACTTGGTCTTAGAATTTACTTTTGGAAAGAGTGTGTTCCTGCTGTCTTGCTGGGTCTGTTACTAGGTGAAGCATGCTGTGTAGTTGCCAAGAAGCTAATAACTATCATTACCTTGAGTTTTCTGGTATAATTTTGTATCTTCACTTTATTTTATTTTTATGTGTTTAAGCCCCCTCAGAGTCCATTGGAGCAAATGAGATATAATAATAAACAATTTTTAAGTAGTTTAGTTTATATCAGAAGGATAATTTTTTGTGTTGTTCATTTGAATGTAAACATCTTATTACCTAGGTTCACAACGTACTTGTCAGCTGAAATGCTTTAAAATTGATCTACATCACAAAGTTGTTTTTCAGCAGAGTTATATTTAAGATAGGCAGAAAACCTTAGTGGTTATGGGTAAATTTGGGAAATGTTATGTCAAAATAAAACCTTTTCGAAGGCAGAAGTAAACGTTATTTATTACATGCAGATTATGTGACACTTTTTGTAATCCTCACAAGAGACCTAGTTTATTATACCCATTTTTCAGATGTGAAAACTTAAGCTCATTCATGTAAACTGACTTTCTCAAGGACTCATAGCTAGTAAAAGTGGAACTGGAATTTAAATCCTTTTTTCCTCCTAAAAGAGATTATAAAAGAACCTTTATTACTGATGCATCTATTGGCAGGAACAATTTGTAGTATAAACATGAACTGTTATAGCCTTTATTCTGTAAATGCTTTGGAAATATTTATCTACTTCTGGGAAAATATCCTAAGGAAATAACCTTTTCATAGGGGATACAGTAATGGTAATGCTCTTCCTAAATACTAGAATTTAAAAAGTAATTATTGTACTCTGAGATTTAAATTTAAAAATCAACACATACTAGATCAAAGCAGAAATGTACAGAGCATCTTGAAGATAAACAACAGCTCTGGACCTGCAAGTTTAGCCTTTTTTTTTTTTTCTTTTACATTTATGAAATTCAACAAATGATTTCTTCTGACACTAGGAGAGTAAATATTATTACTATCAGGAGACAGTGATTTTAGTTTTATTCCCCCCTCTTCTGAACAGTTTCTAACACCTCTGAAGATTTGTCCTTGATCTCTTAAATTCTTTACTTTTCCTATTTACCCCAGCATTCCCTTTCCTGTCTCCCAACTCAGCAACCACAGCTTGTCTGGTGCAGTGGCTCCATAGAGACTGAGGAGATGGGGAAGAAAGATGAAGACATGTCTAAGGTCATTATGGCCTTACCACTATTTCACTATTTTGTTTTTATGCATTTCTCATTGAAAGGATGGAGATAGGAGTCAAGTGGAGGTTCTGGTTTTAGATAGTTTGTGTTCACATCCCAGCTTTTCCACTTAAGCAAATTACATAAATTTCTGTACTTCAGTTTCGTTATTCATGAAATAAAGGCTATGAAAGTATAAAAATCATGGGATTGTTTCAAAAAAAACTTAAGGCATGTAAGGCGCCCTGTCATGTAAAAATCATTCAATAAATGGGAATGTCTCCTCCAATAACCGCGAGTTTCTGATGCGAGCAGTAGTTTACATCTTTGGCTGTGTATTACAATCATTCAAGGAGCTTTCTAAAAATATAAGTGCCTCCAACCCTGCTGTTCTGATGAATAAACCTCTGATAGGACTTGGGGATCAAATTGTTCCCCCATTGTTTCTTTGCTTGCTTGTTTGTTTTTAAGTCCCATGAGGTTTTTGTGTCTTTTATTCACTGCTGTATCTCCAACGCCTAAAACAATGCCTGGCACAAAGTAGGTACACAATAAATACTTTTTGAATGAATAAAAAATGTGTTATCTTTGGTCCCTCAGGGGTTCATCCTCTCTCTTTTTATAAAAAAATTTTTTAAATTTACAAATATAAAATTCATCCTTTTTGATAAACAATTTTGTTTGCTACTTTATGGTCAAACTCTCTCCTCACCTTCAACTTTTGACTACCACTGATCTATTCTTCGTCTTTACAGTTTTGGGTTTTCTTGAATGTCAAATAAATTGAATCCTAAATTGTATCTAGCTTCTGTCACTTAGCATAATGCATTTGAGGCTCATTGTGTTATCAATAGTTTATTCTCTTTATCGCTAAGTAGGATTCCATTGAATCTGAACAAATGTATTAACCATCTTGCCCTATTTTGTTCTTTTTGATTTGTAGCTTTCCAGAGTGTTGGATCTTCCTCCAGAAAATTTGATCAAATCAATATCTGCAGTTCCAATTTCAAAAAAAGAGTTAAGTATAGTATATTTGTAACTGTCTAAAATGCTTCTGGCTTTGTCAATATAAAAAATAATTTGTTGTACTTCAATTTATAGGATAGTCTTTGAAATTAACCATAAGGTATGAGTCATTATATTCAACCTATTGTTCCTATTGACTTAAATATTTAGAGTCTGTCTGTTAGGTGCTCTGACATGGCAGATTATATATTATATTATATTAACATAAGAATTATGTTATTCTTATGTTTTGGTGTTTGTGTATGCTAATAACTATAATTATAGCAAAATCTTTAAGAAAAATTAGGAGTGAGGTTCAAATTTAATTCTGTTCAAGAAATGAGCGAACTAAGATCATGGTTAGAATCTCAGGGTTTTTGAGGGCATCTTAAAGATGCCTTCACTCTTCTGACGTTTGAATACTGTTGTACCATATTTACCTGCTAGATTGTTTGTGTTGGGCTTGTCATTTTGTTGTTGTTTTTTGAGTCTCCATTTGAGGTGTCCCTGTGATAGAAAACTATTGGTTAGGACTACCTACAATCCGTCGTTGCTTTCTTGTTTGTAGGGAAATATCCATCTCTTTGTGAGTTTGGTCATCCTAATTGATACTTGTTTATCATTTTGATAGAAAACTTCAATACTTGGATAAAATACCCTCTCAGTCAATTATTAGTGACAAAAATTAGCTAGATAATAGGCATTTAAGCCCTAAGCTTTAGAAAGATGTAAAGATATAATTATCAGTACCATTATGTCCTTACATCATTTTGTCCCCTTAACATTGTCAGGCCTTTAAGATAGAGTAGGATGAATATTCTTGTTCCCAGATTAAGACAAAGAGAGAAATAGAAAAGGAAGAGAAAGGCTACATATGGCCTTAAAAGAGAGCACCTGTAAAATGGCCTGCTGTGACTTCCTCTACATCGAGTTCCAGGAGAGAGGCAACCCCTGACCAAGGGGACCTCATAATTATATGTAAATTGATGTAATGTTCCAAACCAGTTACCTATTTCATAAAATCTGTAAATGACATTTTGCATAATGGAATGTCTCAGTTTTTATTTTATATTTCAAAGGCCTTTAATAAGCTAAACTTTCTTGGCCCACCTTTTGAATAGGATTTCCTTTACCCCCCTGGAGCTCCTTTGGGCAGCTCCACTTTAACAATCTGAAAACGAAGACTTTTATTTATAGAAAATTGATATTGGGAAGGGCCTCAATTTTTCCAGGCTATAAGTCTAAAATTCTGCATATTAAACTTACTTAAAACAAAGGGAAGCTGTGCTGTTTTGCCATAATCAACCCAGGTATCCTTTACATTACTAAAACTAAGCCTAACTGTTCTATATTTCTAACTTTATTCTAGAATGCTATCAAGTACCAGGAGAGTTAAGCAACATTATTTTTGTTAATGTGGTTTATTTAATGTAATATGCATCAATTTGCTCAGATCTCATAATTCTCTCAATTCGGTTTTCAACTATGTTGGAATTCCTATATAATATTGATTGTAGTAGACAGGATTAATAACTTTGTTATAAGCCAGTAGTACTAAAGCCTCTGGATTTCACTGACACCACAACTACTCCTCAGAAATAGTGGGAAAGTAGCTATTGCTTTTTTAATTTATTTTTTAAAATTGTAAACAATGTGAAAGTAGAATAGTTTAATGAACCCCTATGTGCCCATCACTCACTATCATTGGCACACAGCCAATTGTTTCATCTAGAACCCTATCCCCTGTCTCTCACACTGGATTATTTTGACAATTACTTCTTTTCATGGTCTAGATATTATGTCTTTTTAAAAGATTTTTTAAAAATTAATTTGTTTTTCTATCACAAAAGCAAAACAGATAATCTTCTTAAGGAAATTCAGGAAAATACAGAAGAAGAAAAAACCCCGAAAGTCTTACTACAGTAAGACAGGTGATGTTAGCAAGTTGGTGTATTTTTTATATTTTCTCTTTGAATATGTCTTGCAGCCTTTAAAAAAAAGTAGCTATACAACTACTGTATGCATAATTTTTGAACCCTTTTCCCTTGACATCATTCTCTTTTTGCAAATATCACTTGTAATAATGGCTTAATAATAGTCTAACACTCCCCTGTTGATGGACATTTAGATTGTTTTCAGTTCTGACTTTAAATGTATTCACATTCAGTAATTACCTCTTTAAATAGGCAAAGCAAGAGTTTCTTGTGGGTATATAATTAAAAGCTCCCTAAAGGGAAAACTGGGAAATAGGTCAAGTCTGGTTGATCCTTTCCCGCCTCCCTGAAGCATTTACTTCTCTTTTGGGTCTTTCTTACTGGCAAGTAACCCTTCACATAATTTCAGAATTCATGTTTTAAATATTCCTAGTTTAATACGTTGGTGTTAATCATTGTTAATAGACCAAAAGGATGATTTTTTAATTTGTCCTTCTACCACTGAACTAATTGGAAATATTTGTGATTCTAATGAGATAATAAAATTTTTAAATTGAGTTAAATTAGTTCATTATTCACGTCTAGAATAAAATCATCAAACTATCTACAGAATATCATGTGACCTCTTTGTGTTTCCTGGATGTTTGAGAGCCATCCTGTAGGTTTATGGTCATATTAAATCTTTTTTAAAGTATCCTAGCTATATATTGCAAATCATAATTTAATCTTTGGTGCATTCAATCTATATAATTTCAATTAATAATATTATCATGGTTCTTATTACTTACTTTTAAAAAATCTTTGTGTGTTTATTCTTGTTCTGCTTTGTGTATTATTCCCATTTTGTTAAACTGTTCAATTTCCCACATTATTGGCACAAATACTTAACTAAAGTATCAGATTGTTTTGGTAAGAGTAAATACAATACATTCAAACCTCATATGAATTTCCACAATTGAAGTTTAATCTTTAAAAAATTGAATTGTCATTTAATAATTAGAGAATAGTCTTAGAAAAGAAACAGTATAGTTCCCCAAGCAAGCCAATATATGAAGAACTACAGGCTCAGTACTGGTACTACTTAATATTTTTATTTAACATCAGAACTGGAATTAGTATTATTTTACCAGGACTTAATTTCTTAGGAACACTGGGAAGTAGGTGCCATTATCATCACCACTTTACTGAGGTAGCAGAGAGATTAAGCAACGTGCTCAAGATCACACAGACACTGATTGATAGATGAACTTGGGTCTGCTGTTACAGCTCAAATATTCAGTAGATGAGTTTGGGTTGGTAACTGTAATTCACATTAGGCTGCATGGATAATGGATTAAGGCTCAGGAAAATTCTTAATGGTCATTGTTGACTGGGTTCTTTAATGTGATGTTAATCAGAAGTCACACAGGATTTTTTAGGCGTGTCCCTGAATTCCAAAAGTGGTAAGAAGAAAATCATTTGTGCCTCTCCAAAATGTGGCCTTTTGTGTCAGTGACAGATGGGCTAGGCAGACAATGATTCAACCACTTACTCTGCACATAGAGTCACATTCTCTAGTTCCCTGTTAAACATCAGAAGACGTTCAGTGTGGGTAATTGTGTAGATGTTTGTATATTGATCAAAATTTTTTTATACCCTGAACTATTTCAAACTACAGAAAAATTCATAGAGAATAATATAACGAACACTTGTGCTCACTTTCTAACATGACAAGTCTTAACTTTTTTCCAAATTTACTTTGTCTTTTATTGTGGCAGGGGTTGGGGGGCACTCTTGATTTTTGTTTTTAGAAATCAAACATTGTAGATACTGTTGAAGCCACTTGTATATACTTCTTTGATTCCACTCCCTGCTATCTGTCCCTAGAGGTAACTGCTTTCATGAGGCAAATGATTATTTTCACTAATCAGTTGCTTTGTGTTTGTTTCTTGGTTTCTTTGTTTTTGCATTGTTTCACCACTAACCCAGTGAAAAGGACGAATGGCAATGTCTGTCACTTTAATCAACTACTGACTGTCAAGAATAATATTCTTCTTTTTCTCATGTTGAAACTCAGATTACAACATTTAAAAAATATTTTTGCTTTGGTCGTTTGGAGCTCAATGGAGGGACTTAAAAGAAGCCAGCATTTGGAATAGTGGAGGAAGAAACCTGCACTTTTTTCTGAGTCTGCGTTTTAGTTGGAGTAGGATTTTAGAGGAGACAATGAACTTTCCAGATGTCAATTTTCACATCTACAAAATAAGGTGGTTGCTCTCTATTTGTCACAGAGATATTATATAGCTACAACCAGGTAATAGAAGAGGAGGAATTTTCTAAGATGATACAAGATAAAGTTCTAAATAAATACAAGATGATGTTATTTCCAATTTCTTTGCCTTATATTTTGAAAGTCAACACCTTCTTCTGATAAAATTGTGTCAGTGTGGAGAACCCAAAGTGATCAGTCTTTTTTTGGTACACTAGTAATGTTTTTTAAGGTAACAATAACCTTTTTCTATTTCAATGTCTCTTTAGAGAAGTAGCTGATTTTCAGCTTTCTGTGGATTCTCTATTGGAAAACAACAATGGCCATTCGAGACCAGATATGCAAGTTCAAGCCACGAGACTGGCAGAGAAGGTACTTTAGCACTGTCTCTTTTTGACATTATAATAAATGTGTTATTTTAAAGGAAAAAACACTCAGCAGGCTATCGCAGCCATAATAATGAATTTAATAGTGTTTCTTTGTTCAAGGCACCTTGGAAAATATAAATTCATTTTAGCTGTGTACTGTAAGGTTAGGATGCTTTTTACAATTAGTTGTAAAGCATTCCTCTTGAGCTGACATTGTTCAATTTTTTGATTAACTACTTATGGGGGACTGAAGTGTTAATTACATTTACAGATTGAAGCTGGATGGACTTCTGAATTTAGGAGAACAAGCTTGATAAATTAGAGCAGTGGGTTGCAATTTTTGAAATGAGTTTCTGAGAAGATGAACATTAAAATATGAGAAGAAATGATTAGATGTAAATAGAACCATGATTACAGAGAAGAAGTGGTTAGATGATTTAATAAACCTCTTTCATTTCTAATTTCTCTGATGGGTTTGGTATCTAAAAGAGGAATTGAAAGGATTGTAGAGAATGACCAAATCCAAATTATTACTGTAATACTATTGGAAAAGGCAGGTGTTGGACAAGGTTTTGTTTTAATAGGATTATTACATGTGACACAAAGGAGGTGACTGGGCACACTGAAGAAGTGGAACAATGAAAGTCATTATTGTAGAAAATGATGTTTAAAAATGAGTATGTACACAATATTATAAGCCAATATAATCTCAATAAAATAATTTTTAAAAACACATAACATTAAAAAAAAAGAATGAATATCATAAAGGAACTTTGGTAGCTGAATAAATATTTATTTGATCACAAAATCATCCCAGATTTTTATCAGGAAGTACACCAAGTGTAGAATTATCCTAATTACAATATTTATTCTCTTTCCCTCCATCTTCTATGAGTTCTCACAAATAAAGACTACTGTCTCTTTAGTGACAGCAGATATCTTTTCAAGTTCCATGGGTGTATCAGGTGCTTTGAATATCTAGTTGATTAAAAGTTTAAAGCATATTCCTTAAAGACAAAGTATTTAAATTATTTAAATTTTATGTATTGGTGCAAGTTTTTTAGCTTAGGCCCTGATAGAATGTCATGTTCTGTCGCTCTCTTGAAAGGTAGGTGAAATAAAAAGAGTTCATTGCACATCAGGGTCCCTAGGGTGGGGTAAGGTGTTGCTCTCTTTCTTCCATGTTAGATGGAGAATTTGAAGTGAGAGAATGGGAAAGAGAAAGAGAGAGAGACTCTGAATACGGAATAGAGTTCTTGTCAGGAAAAGAAGAAAACCTGTTTAGCCAAATAGAATGATGGAACTGAAGAGACTGGCTAAGGCCTAGGTTCAGATATAATGACTGTGAGAGATGACACACCTGCTGCCTTTGGAAGCCAATTCGATAGTGTTAGAACTACAAATCTTTTTGGGCCTATTTTATAACTTATATTTTACTTCATTTGTTGTCTTTTCAGCTAAAATGTGATACAGTGGTGAGTGAAATCAGTACTGGTCAAGGGACTGTAAATTTCAAAATAAACAGAGAACTATTGACAAAGGTAAGAATGAGTTATGTTCTAGCTACTGTACCTTCACACACTCTGCTTTAGTTACAGTGGTTTCCTCCAGTTCTTAAGCTTATTGTTCCTCCTCTTACCTCACCACCTCTGCACATTCTGATCCCTCTGCCTGGAGTGCCACCCACTCCTGCTTATCTTCAAATCTTGGTATTTCCTGGGCAGTGCCTTTCTCACTCCTTCATTTATCTGTTCTCATAGCACTGTGTATCTCTCCTTTGCAGAAGTTATCATAGTTGCCATTGTACATTCTTTTTATTTGATTAATGCCTTGCCCTTTAAACTCTATTTTCCGTTAGGGCTCATAGCATCTGTTTTTCTCACTATCAGATCCTCAATTCCTAGGACAGTGCCTGGCAGACAGTGGGTGTGAGATAACCATTGTTGAATGAATTAGTGGACTCTGTATTGAATACAAAAAGGGTACTGCTGGTTTATGCTCTGTCGTAGCCTATAACCTGTTGGGAGCATAAGATTTTTACAGAAGAAACCATAAGACAGCTTCTTCTTTTAATAAAACAATAAATATTAAAACAGCAAAAGGTGATTGATATAACATGCATAAGAAAGATCAGAGATGGAGAAATCAGAATGGCCTAGAGGGGAATCTCCTGGAGGAATAGGGTCTCACTTGAGAGAGACCATAGAGAACAGGTCATCCTGGAAAGACAGTGTGGTATGAGACCTTTTGTTGAGACTTTCATCTCAATTAAAATTTAAAATTTATCATAATGCATGTTTTGGTCTATTATTTTTTAGAAAAAGAAATACACACCAGTGTTGGATTGGTCAGGCTTAGTAAATGCTGCAGTCTTGAATTGAAAATAACTATAAAACCAAAATTTCTAATAATATAGTTTCTTATCAGAGTTATATAGCCCATCAGCCCTATAATTATTCTGAAGGAAAGTTAGTGTTTCATGCTTGTCTCTAAATCTTTGAACCTTTTTCTTTTATCTTTTTTTCATTCTTACTTCAAGGTAAGCTAGTTAACTAAAATCAGTCACAAGGACAAGAAGGAAATTTGTTTTGAGCTTGTTAAAAAGTGTCTACAACCTGCTGGGTTCTTGGTAACATTTCATGTTCAACTTAGCAAACCAGTGAGTCTAATTTATCATTTTTAAATAAATAATTCATTCTTCCAGTTGCTGTCTTAATTTTTATGAAAGTAAAAATGCAGCTCGCCAAAGTACCCTTCAAACTTTAGGTCATTTGATAGGCAGCAGTATTTTACTTGTTTTGTTTTCCCAGAGATGGGAAAATGTACTATAGTACATGGGGTTTGCCTTTACAGTCAGCTTAGCTGAAAGAGATGTGGTTTACATTTCGAGGCAAGGCATATATTTACTTAATAATGTAAAATTTCAATGGCCATGAATTTTCATGCTTTATTACAATTAACGTACTATGAGATTTTCTCCAGTTTAAGGATGCCCACTAGCTCACTTATTAAAAATATTGCTAAGTCCTTCTCAATTGACAACGAAGGAACAGGAGGCATGGCTTTGAGATTCAGCTACTTTTGCTCACATGGAAATTCTCCCTTCATTGCAGCTTTGAGGATGTGGATCTTAGTGTGATTTTCATCAGAGGAACAACAGATTGCTCACAGTAGCCCTGCTCAGTGTCACAGTAAAGATATACATCCTAGAACAAGGAATACCCATAGTCTGAAAAAGGAGTATTGAATGTGCCTGTGTTATAATTTTTTTATGATAATGCTTGTTTGCTCAAAGCCTAATTTCTTCTACATCTGGCTTCATTATTTTCAGGCCTTAACCAGTGGTCATTTGCATATTTAATGAATTTTTCAGATCACATCAGGAAAAAAATTCAGCCCTTCTTAGGACCGTTATAAAGCCTTTTTTTTCTTTTTTACATTTTAAAGTTATCAAGATTGAAATGTAGTCAATGATCTATGTCTAAAACTTATTCCTCAGAGAATTATGAATGTGTCATTGCTTACACATGTACAAAATTAGCCTTGCATAAAATATATCCATTCATTGCAATTAAATTATTAGCACTGGCAGCACCAGAGATGATTAAATGTTCGCTTAAGTCTGGATCACTAATAGTGGCTTAAAGTGTCTTCATATAAATCATCCTCAAAGGTAGGAGGCTGGAATGTGAAATTAGAGGCGGTGGGAACTGCCAAATCTCTGGACTAGAGAACACATTTTTCAAAGCTAGAAGGAGATACAATGAATTCATATGTTGTGAAGAACTGATTTTGGTACCAAATTTCTACCTGTCACCAGCTTACAGATGACTTTCAAGAGAAACTGTAACTTCAAGTAATAGTTTATTTAGTGGGAGAAAAAAGAGAAAATATGAGTTTAACCAAATGGGAAAAAGGCAAACAAAATTGAGTTTTTTGTCTGCCTTAGAAGTACACAATGGATAACATCATTTTTATTTCACATGCACACATGCATTTTTTATTTGCCAAATTCAACTTTGCATGCTCTACCAAATAAGAAAAAAGAAAAAGAAATACTAATTTAAATGGCTCTAATTCTGGTGGTTATTTCACTGATTGAGTTTATATCAATAGGCAGTGCATGCATTCAGGTTACAAATAGTGCCAATTGGCTGAACACATGGAAAGAATGAATGATTAAGCACTTTTCAGCTGTTGGCCAAAGAATTAACTAGGCAGATAGATAATGGTAGCTTCTTTCGAAGTCCTGATTGAGAGCTGTAGAGAAATATCAACCAAAACAGAGTTAAAGTGACAGAAATCATCCATAGAAAATGTGATGGTCATAGACAAACAGAAAGTACCAGCCAAATGGAATGTTCATTAATTTGCTAACATTCCAAAATGTGAAACCTTTGAAAGATTTAATTTCTGATTATAAACTCTGTTGCAGCTATATTTACATTACTGAGCACGTCTTACATTTAAACATACATGTTGATGAATAGATGGGTCTCTAGCTTATTCACGTGTTGGACTATCAGGAAACTTTACTAGCTCACTGACATTCTATAGTTAAAAGCTCCTCTATCTTCTACATTCTCCATTTCCACTCACTTAGCTGATAACCAAGTCAGAAACCTAGGAGTTCCTAGGATTTCCCTTTTCCCTCGCAGAATCTCTCCTGTGCTACAGACTGATATGTCCATAAATTAGAATGAGCAAATTAGGAATATTTAGTTTCTAGTAACAAAATGATTAAGAAAATTGCAATTTTTTCTATCGTTAAATCCCACACCTTTTATTTTCAGACAGTGCTACAACAAGTAATTGAAGATGGCCCAAAATACGGATTAAAAAGTGAACTTTTCTCTGATCTTCCCCAGAAGAAGATTGTGGTTGAGTTCAGGTGAGTGCCTGCCCATCTTCTGTGTCGGGTAATCAGCTGGCTGGGCAGGGAGTATTTTACCATTAGCACCTGCGGTCTCACAAAATTGCACGAGGAAACATTGAAAACCAGTGAGATTATATTATTTTCTTAAAATCACAGTGAATTGATCATTAAACCACAAAGAAAAGTGTTTGGACTCCAATCAAAAAAATGTCTAGTGATTCTTTTGGGTTTTTTTTCTTTTTTTAATCAAGTATTTAATAGTTATCTTTTTGGAAAAACTACTTTTTTATCTTAGACTCTCAAGGCAGAGACAATGGTTACTACCATATTAAGAATTGTTAAAGTAATGGGATTACCAGAGAACAAAGCATTGTAGTGTTTGTAATAGTTATTTTTAAAAATTACCAGAAAAATAGCTTGAAGTTTTAATATGCCTCTAAGTAGTCTTCATAATAACTTTCTGATGTGCTGTCAGTACCACTGTCTTAATATTTGAACTGTTTTTAGGTAACCAAAAGAGAAAAGGGAACACTTTCCGACTAGAGCTGACAGGTTGACAGCTCATGAAAATTACGAGAAATATTGCATTTGCCTTCGTAAAAGCTGGAGAAGAGTCTTGATGAACTGTTTGCCACTTAGAAGGATGGCACTTGCTAGAGTCTTTTGTCTTCTTAAGTATATATTTTTGTGGAGGATTTCAAAAAATTGATATGGGAAATGTGATTTCAGGTTTCCTAACTTAGAATTTATGATGATAACTTTTATTAAGTTACAAGTTAGTTATGATAATCAGAGGTGAATGGGTTTTATGGCTTCCACATTTGTCCTGTCTCTACCACTCTCTCGTGATCTTAGCAAAAGCAAACCCTAAAAGACTCATAAACTCACCTTTTTATGAGAAGGTCTGATTGCTGAGTAAGCTAATGCTACTATGGAGCAGACAGATATGAATAAATCTTAGGCTGCCAGTGCACCTCAGTCGTGATAAGTACAGTTTAGTGTAAATATTTGTTGCATGAAAGAGAGGAGAGGGACTTCCTGCAGTCATCCTCACACCAGAGAGGAGCTACACTCCTTAGCTACACTAAGGCCATCCATCCCCCAAAGAAACTTGCCTGTCGTTTTAGTTCTCTCTTCTTGCATAATAAGCCACTCCAAAACTTAGTACAGGAATTGGCAGACTTCAGCTATGAGCAAAACCCAGTCTGCCACCTGTTTTTGTAAATACAGTTTTATTGGAACACAGGCTTACACTTTCATTTACATATTGTCACAGTGGCTGCTTTCATACTATAGTGGCGTACAGTAGAGTTGAGTTGAATAGTCGAGATAAGAGATTGGATGGCCTGAAAACCTAAAATATTTACTATCTGACTCTTTAAGAAAAAGTTTGCCAACTCCTGATTAGTATCTTAAAACAACAATTTTAATGTTCATGACTCCACAGATCAGGAAATCAGGGAGAGCTTACCTCAATGGTTCTTTTACTTAACTGTGGTCACGTATGCAGCTCGGGTCATCTAGAGATTATACTGGGGCTACAAATCCAGGAGATGCATTTACTTGTCTGGCATCTCCCCTGAGGGCTGGCCAGGCATCTCTCTCTCCCCCAACATTGTCTCTCCAGCAGAGTAGCCAGACCTCTTTACAAAGTGCTCAGGGCTCCAAGATAGTAAAAGCATCTGGTCATGTAACAGGCATAGCATCACTTCTGTCACTTTCTGCTTGTAAAGCAAGTCACAAGATCAGCCAGATTCAAAAGGAGGGAAAATAGACTACATCTCTTCATGGCAAGAGTGGCAAACAATTTGTGGCCATCTTTAATTCTTTTCATTCATGTCTTTAAATTGATGTGGAACACATACCCTTCTTCTCTGGGGAGTCACTTCAGTTCCATATTACTCTGACAGTCCTTGCTGTTACCTAACGAGCAGTAAAGGAAAATCAGTAGGGGGTGGCAAAGTATCTGTTACCATACATTCCCCCTTGACATAATGCCATCATGAGTTTTTTGAAACTTGAATAGTTGCTCACTTTTAACACCTTCCTCCCCATTTTCACTTCACCTTCACCATCCTTCCTCCCCAGCCAAGCTCAAACTACCAAGACCTCAGTCTTCCTTACTCATTGATTCTCTGGCTTTTGTCCAAAGTGTTTTTCCCCGTACAATGCTCTTTTTTGTTTATGCTTGTAAGAAATGCCTAAAAATAACCTGTTCTATTTGAGTCGTCTTCAGTAGGGTTTTTGTATGGGAGTTTATTTGCTTACGGATTTGCCTCTCTCAACTTTTTTCTAAAGCAGTTACGGAAGCCTGGAACTTAGATGAGCATCTGAATGCTGAGGGAGGCAGAGTCCATTTCCCAGCAACCATCTTTGCTCTGTTATTTTCCATCTGTGGGACCAAAGCTGCTCCCTCCCTTAGAAGTTTTCCAGATGCTGTGGTGCTTGTCACTGAGGTTTCAAAGTGGAGACACACAGTTGGGGGACAGAGGCAAAATTGATAGAAAACATCATTCTTGAATTTTTTCTGAAAATGAGAGAAGTGAGAGAAGAAAATTTTTTAAATATATAGTATCTGAAATAGACCAGGCAGCTTTCCCCACAAAAGCAAGAGATATAATCACTGTGTTCAGGAAACTGGGCCCCCAAATTGAGATGATGGTGATGATAACAGGTCAAGTAACTTGCTCAGAGTCCTAGAGCTAACTCTGACTCTCGCACACTTAACCTTTACTGCCTCCCTGATGCCCAGTGCTGGTTGGCATGTCTTTTGTGGGATCTGGGAGCAGTGTGATAGAGTGACAGGGTAGGTGACTGTCCACCATGGACCTGGACTCTGCCTGCTAGGTGAAAGAAGACTGGAAGCTGCTCCTGTTGCCTTTCCTGTGAGCTTTCCTGTTTTGTTCAGATCAAATCTGCAGGAGCACAGTCAGCAGTGGTAGCCTTTCCTCTTCTTTCCTCAGCGCACACTCCCCTACCCACTGCTGTTCCCCGATGTGAAGTGTTCTCCTCATAAACAGATTGAGGACCTCTGATTGGTAAAATGGGAAACTAGGAGATCAGGGGACCAGTTCTCACTTAGTAATTGATTCAGTGATCATGGATGGGAATTTAGTTCTCTAGTCTTTTTTCTATCTGGAAAATTAGAGTAAAAAATATCTGTCTTTTCTTACAAGATTGAAGAAATTATATGAAATAATTTTTCTTTTTTTTTTTTTGAGGAAGATTATCCCTGAGCTAACATCTGCTGCAAGTCCTCCTCTTTTTGCTGAGGATGCCTGACCCTGAGCTAATATCCGTGCCCATCTTCCTCTACTTTATATGTGGGATGCCTACCACAGCATGGCTTGATGAGCGGTGCCATGTCCGCACCCGGGATCCGAACGGGTGAACCCCAGGCCGCCAAAGCGGAACGTGTGAACTTAACTGCTGCGCCACTGGGCCAGCCCCTGAAATAATTTTTTTAAAGCCCCAATCAAGTGTCCAAATTGTAATTCATAGTGGCTACTTTGGTTGCCAAAGGAATTGTATTTGTATTTTCCATCTCCTTGTATTCCCTTCCCAGTAGGAGTGTGGTGCAAGAGAAAGGCAAATTGATGATTTCAAGGGACACTTTGTGAAGACCTAGATAGATTCAGTTCTAATCCTAGAGAAAAAAGGCAAAAGCTATGTGAAAGCTTTTTTTAAAAAACAGATAATATAGATACGTGGTTTTTAGAAATTCAGAGATGGCAAAAGGATATTCAGTGAAAAGGAAGTTTCCTTGCCATGCCAGTTTCCCAGTTCTCTCCAAATGGGCATTCACCAATGCCAGCTGCTTGTTTACACACCCAGAGCTATTCTGTGCATTTATAAACAGATCACACAGGCTGTACCTTGTTCTACTCCTTGCTTTTTTTCACTAAACAATATATCTTTTCCTTTAATATCAGTACATCCAGAGCTGTCTTATTATTTTAATTGTTTCATAGTATTCTGTTGTCTGGAGATTTTTTTTTTAATCAGCTTCATTGAGGTATAATTACATACAATACAGTTCACCAGATTTCAACATATAATTTGGCGAGTTTTGGCAAAAGTGTGTAAGTCACATAACCACCACTACAATTAGGATATGGAACAGTTTCTCTGTCATTTTTTTCTATTTTGTTGATTTTTGCTTTTATCTTTATTATTCCCTTTTATTCTGCTTGCTTTGGATTTAGTTTGCTCCTCCCTGTCTAGTTTCTTAAAGGAGAACCTTAGATTCTTGATTTGAAAGCTTTCTTCTTTACTGATATACACATTTCATGCAATAGACTTTTCTCCTTTCACTAAAAGTCCCACAGGTTTGCGAGTTAGGCGGTCCTGGGTGCCACCTAGTTTGCTCTGATTGTCTCAAGGATCACAGTCCTTCACTGTCCTGTTGTCTGGTTTCATGAAACTAGTGTTTCATATATTTTTCTGATTTTCTGGTTGTTTAAAGCAGAAGGGTAAATCCAGTCCCTGTTGGGTAGGAGTGCAAGATTCCTTATTTTTTAATCCTATGGAAGAACATTCATTTTCTTTCTAAATGATGGTTAAATCAACATCCTTATAGTTTCATAATTTCTCAATTGTGCACAGGTATCTGTAGGATCCAGATTTTAAATTGTAATTCCCTTAAAAAGGATATATAACAAGGCTTTGGAGACACACAGACCAAACTTAAGCTCTATTTATACCACCTTTTTAACCTGCTGTGTTCAAGTTTATATATCTTTTTTAAATGTTGAAAAACTTATGAAATTTTCAAACATACACAAAACAGAGAGAACAGTATGATTAAGTCCTATATGCTCATCACCCAGGTTCAAGAGTCCTCAAGGTATTGCTACATTTGCTTCCTTATCTCTTCTCCTTGTGTCACTTCCCTCATCAGTAAAATAAGAGATGAGAGTACCTTACCTCACAGCTCCTCTGAGCACTCAGTGAGTTAATGCATGTAAATTGTGTGAAGCTGTGCTTGTCAGATAGCGAGTGCTCTACAAGCATATGCTATTGTTAAATTATCGATTACAACTTGTCAAGCACACATGGGAGTGATAAATGTGTTGCTTGAGAATTTGGAGTGGTGAATCAGATTTCTGGTTGTTCTGGGAAGTTTTATACATAAATACTTTAAAATTTTCAATCTTAATTTCTGATATAGTAAATGTTGATAGATATTACTCATATAAACAAAATTTCTTTGGGGTCTTCAATAATTTTTAAGAGGATAAAAGGTTTGAGAACTGGTGTGCTAAGCTTAATTCTCAGTAATCTACATTGTTTGTGTCAAAACAATACCTCTGAATTTCTTCATCTTTTTATCAATCCTTAAATGTATTTGCTTCCTAAGTTATGTGCCACTTTTGTGTATGGTACTACCTCATGAGTCACAGGATCAATTTCACAAAGGATGATTCTTTCTGAGTTCTAATTGATTTTTGCTCTGAATTTCTGCTACTTAACTTATCTTTGCCCTAAATTACCAAAGGCCTTAGTCCCCATTTGTGTTACACTATGGAGGCATGACCTAGTTCGTTTTAGAACTCTTGTTCTGAGAACAGAAAAATAACTTTTGCAATTATTTGCAGTTCACCTAATGTTGCCAAAAAATTTCACGTTGGACATTTGCGTTCTACCATCATAGGTAAGTGGTGTTAGTTTCATGAAAATACTAAACATGCCTTTGAGGCAGTCCCTGATAATACAAACTAATGGTTTAATGCTTAAATAACAAAAGGACAAAAAGCAAAATATTTGAAATATATATGAGCTTGATGCTGATTAACTATTACATGAAATGGGAAAAATTGATTTAGAAATGGAAGAAAGAAATTTGTTTCTAAACCAAATTTTTCAAAGATTAACTCAGAAACTGGTCTTAACTGGTATGTATGTTATGATTTTATCTTTTTAAAAATATGGAGAGGAACTGAAAGATGGAAAAATGAAAATAATTATGTGGGGATGATATTTTTGTTCATATATTTTACTTTACAAAGGAAACTCAATCTCAGTCATGTGAGTACTAACTGGAGTGTTCCAGACTGGAAATTGAAACAAGACTATTCTACTAAAGAAAGACTACTCTCGTACTTCATAGCTGTAATGCTTCAATGTATAATACGATTTTCATTTATTTAAAACATGACAGTATGCAGCAGCCCAACTTAAAAACTGCAGTTAGAATTGTATAATGTTAGAGTTGGAGTGGACTTTGGAGTTTTATCTCATGTATCTGTCTTCAGTGTAGAAATCTTGTCTTTTGCATGCTTAGGAGAAAGTCATCTAACCCATTCTTGAATACTTGTAAGAATTGGAAGAATCGGTACTTGTGTCATAGATTGTTATTGAACTGCAGTCAGATCTTATTTTTATAGAGTTCTCAAATAGCACTTTAAGAGAGGAAATGACAGGACTTGATGAAAAAGAGCATAAGAAATATAGTGTATGAGAAAAGCTGCATGAGTAAGTCAAAAGTATAGGAGTGAGCAAATGATGGGTAGAGCATGATAAAGTTGTTTGACAGTGTTAAAGGAAACATTTGAACCAGGAAGAGAGAGTATTTATTGAGAACTTACTTACCATGTTAAGTTGTTTCATGTATTATCTCAATTAGTTTCACAATAGCCCTGTTTGCTAAGTACTGTTAACTCTGGTTTATGGATGAGGAAACTCAGATACCAAAAGTAACTTTTTCAAAATCACATAGCTAGTAAGTATCATAGCCAGGACTTGAAATTAGGCAGTCTAATTCCAAAAGCCTAGGTTCAGACATTTAATTGGATTTGTAAGATAATAAGGTGCTAAGAAAAACAAGAATAAAGTCTGAGTACCAGCTGCAAAAGGTTGGGAAGTACAGATTAGAAGTAGGGAAGCTGGAAAAGAAGTAGCTGCAGTAATTTAAGTCAGCTAGGCATATTGGTGAGGGATTATTTGCAGAAAACTAGATCTACTCAAGTAAAAGCAGGGACGGATTTATTATGGGATATTGGATAGTTTACTCAGTTGTTGGGAGTGCTGAAGAAGTTTTGGGTTAAGCTGACATAAATGACTCCCCAAACTATATCATAGAACTTGGTCATCAAGAGCCCTTCTGCCGTTTCTGCAATCGCTTCCACTGCTCTAGAGCCACACTGCCACTGCCACGGTCAGGAAATTGCCACTGCTCCTGCCATGCCTTCTAGAATTCATACTAGCAAAGAGGCAGTCCCATACCCTGTCTTTCACTACCTTTGGAGGTTGCATGACAGCACATCTAGTACTGATGCCACTAAAATACAAAGCCTCTACAGCTGTGCTTGTCAGAAAAACTAGAAGTAGCTCCCCGTCCACCTCATTCTCACCTTCTAAATCTCACGAAAAGTCTACCTAATTACCCAAACCGAAATGCAAGAGATTCTGGGAAATGTAGTTTTTAGGTTTCCAGCCTCTGCAGTATGTGAGGACGCACTAGAAGGAGAGTGGAATAGATGCTGATTTTCCAGCCAGCATCAGCAGTACAGGAAGGTGGAGGCCTCGGACTACTATGCGCTCTTAGGGAGTAGGCATGAGAGGATGGACTTAACTGATTGAAAGAAGGTAGAGTGAGCTATTTGGGGTTGGCGGGGGAACAGTATGGCTCAGTTTCTTCAGGGCACAGCCAAATTATATATTTCTCATTAGTTACTGAGATTCTGTTATTTTCTGTCCTTGGAATTGACTCAGAATAGCAATTACTCTAACATGTGTTCCTAACTCCCATTAATGTTGGTGAAAATTCTGTTCTTGAGAAAATTGTGAGATTGTTTGGAATAACTGCCCCCAAAATAATTCCTTACTCCCTTTCCATAACATAGATGAAAACACAATAATGAACGTTTTAGTAAAAAAAAAAAAACTGAGTTGGTAAATTTTGCCAAAAGAATTTTCTGTGTTATGCTTTGATTTAGAGAAGCACATGGTTCTTATGCCAACATGGATAATAAGAATGAGAAACTGTATATTTTATTGATTACTAGGAAATTTTATAGCAAATCTCAAAGAAGCTTTAGGACATCAAGTAACAAGAATAAATTACCTTGGAGATTGGGGCATGCAGTTTGGTAAGTAAGTTTGAGATTTTATTTTTTATTTCATTGTTAAGTTTAATTTCTTTTAATATCATGTCACTTGGTCATCTGGACAGAATATAGGCAGAATCCCACTGGATGAAGTACTGCCTCCTACTTGTTTTTTTTTTTTTCCCTAATAGCTCTTTTGCATATGAATCTTGTATTTTATTTATTAGAGTAAGTCTCACCACACAAATAAGTTTTGGGGAAGGAAACTTAAGACATTCAAAGCAAGACCTGATAAATGCAGACTTTTGTGGTTTTATTAAAGAAAAGTAGCTTACATTTGTTAGTTAAATGAAGTGAGTATACAGGGAAAAAGTAAGTAGCTATATACACCTCAACCACAGCCCTGCCATTTTTAAAACTAGTGAGGTCCAGCCTCCCTGGGCCGTCCTACATGAAGTGGGATCTGTGGTCGTACCCTGGCCAGTCACCCAGAGGAAAGATAAACTGGGATACTTTGACTTCCCCTTAAATTGTACAGTGGCGGGAGGTCAAAAAGAAAAGAGTGGAAGAGAGGAGTGAGACCCAAATAGTTGAGTGCCGCAGATTCTCTCTCGTGTTGTGAGTTTACTCAGAACCATCCTTCGCTCCTACACACCAGTGATCAGGGTGTGGAAGGGTGAGAAAAGTGAAGTTGCTAAGATAGTGAAGGACCAGTAGCATGTGAAATACAAACTTTTAAAGCCTCTGGCAACTCCCATGTGGATTTTGAGATCAAGCCCTTGTGACACCTCTGTAAAGCCTTCTGTGACACCCAATATGCCCTTGCCCCTTCTCACCTCACCAAGTGCCTAGGCCCCAGCTCTTGTCAGGTAGGCTTCTCGCTTACTGTATTCTGATTTTTGTGCTTCTCTCCCTTGCTAGATGGTATGTTCCAGGAAGCCGTGGACTGTCTCGTAATTATTTTTGTATCCATAGTGCTTGGCACATAAGAGGCACTCAGAATGATGAATAAATCTGTCTTGGAAAGTATTTTACAATGCTATTCTGAAAGAAGGGCTAGGTAATATTTTAAAGCTTCTGTAAAGTGCAGTGTGCACTGCCAGTTCTAAAGTTCACTGATACTGTTATCTTCTATATCTAGTGAAATGAAATCAAACTTTCCAAAAGACAGATTTATCATGACATTCTCTTATGAATGTTATCGTCTCAGTTAATAAAAATCTTTTTTAGACCCCGTTAATAGTGCTCTTACTATTCACTGTGAAAGAATCAGAAAACATGCCCTGCATTTAAAAAATCCACCTGCAGTTCACAACAGTTGGTACTCAGAGGTTTAGGCTCTAGGCTCAACAGTCAGATTTAATAGATGGCATCCACTTTATATTAGTTTGACAGATTCAGCATTTCACAGGTATTAGCAAATGTGTGATTATGGTATTCATTAAATTTTAGTTGCAAGATTTTGTTATAGCAGTTTTTCTCCAAAGGACCACTATGGTTAATGATCTGTCACCATTTCTGTCATCACCATCACTGTGGAAGAGTTTTAATTTGGGCTGTTTCAGCTATACCCTATTGTAAGTTGGCAGACAGTTCCTAAGCACAGAATTAGTTTTTGAAAATACATTAGGTTGAATGTTAAATGGAATTGGCTTTTACTTTTCCCATTTCTGTTTTTAAAACACTCTGGGCATCTTTCCACACCCTGCTCCCAAGACCCTGAATCATAATCACATTTGCTTTTGCTTGAAAGTGAGTAGAGCTGGTACATATTTCAGTCATCCTTCTAGTTTCTGTCTAAGCTCCAAAGTAGCGTATGTCCCTGTGTTCAGTAGCATCCTACTTTCTGCTGAGCCCATGTAGAAAAGTGAGTATCACCAAGGCCCAGTGGCAATGGCTCCTTTAGATCTGAGGCTTGGTAATTGATACAGTTGTAGAAATAGGTTGGTTTTTAAAATAATTAAACTACCTATTATTGCTCTTGGCCCCAGACTGCATATATCTTTTCAAATTGAAATTGTGATCACCTTTTAGCAAAATATCTTGAGTGTAAATATTCACAGTCCATACTAGGAATTTTCATTGCTAGTTTACAAACCTCATTTGCTACTTTTTTTTAAAAAAAAGCTTCAAGTTAGTACTATCCCTGAACTCTGAACCTATCGTTGAAGACTAACAAAATGTCATTGGCAAATAAAAGACATATATGGCCAGATAAAAGAATTTTGTTGCTTGGTCCCCTTGAATGGGAGAAGTAATCACGGATGTTGCAAGTTTTATCTTTTATTGTTTTCCTTCAGCTGTTTGTTTAAGAACTAATGTTATAACACCAAGCCAATTCCTACCTTTGCTTTCTTTTAATATCTACAAGTTTAAAAAGTTGTGAAATCACTTTCCATCCATTTTTTTTCACAAATTGCAAGTGTCCAGTGTCTAGCATCATGATGTCCTTCCACAGAGTAGCTGCTCAATAAATGCTTGTTTTACTAATGTCTGCTAAGGATAAAGCTATCTGTTAGTAAAAAGATAAATTAGTCCTAGACTCTTCCTTTGGTGAGCTCATAGTCTGTTGGTTTCTGTGAGGTTAATTTCAGTGATCTGTTCAAGATTCAATATATTGAATTTGACTTGTGTCAGTCTGTGGTATAGCAGAAGGTGATAGTGTGTGTTTTGCAGTATTCTCAGGGTATGTAACTATGAGAGATTGATCTTTTTATAGAACTATACCTATTCCCTGCCATGATTGTTCTCTGCTGTTCCATTTTATAATTTTTTCATTTATGGATTATTGTGGTAGGTCTTCTGGGAACTGGCTTCCAACTGTTTGGCTATGAAGAAAAACTCCAGTCCAATCCTTTACAGCATCTCTTTGAAGTAAGTTGGCAAGAAACAATATTAGCAAATGCTTCAACTTTTTCTTCTGAGTATTATGCAGCTTGGCAACACATTTTTTAATCCCAGAGGCTTTAAAAAAGTGTTCTTTAAAACGAACCAAAACAATTGAAAATGTTGCTTTTATTTTACTAGGAGTTCTTTTCATTTTCAAATCCAAGTGTTTCTTTTATTACTATTTTAGTTGATTTGGGACAGTATTTCTCCAGATAGAGAATAAACACGTAGGATAACAGATTCAACACACAGAGAAATTTCTCAATTTTTTGTCAGTTGATAGGTACCACAGGTTTCTTCATGGCAATAATTATAATCCACTTAGACTTGAAAAACATGAATATATACTTTTTTGCTCTTGTTCTATTGTGGAGGAAGTCGTGTATTTCTTTCTGAATTTGTGTGTGCTTTTTCCATTTTTATCTTTCAGCTCCTTTTCCTGACTTTTGCCCACTGTGAACTCCTTTCAGTTCTACTCCATTTAGTCTCTTGGATGCTTTGCTTCTCTGTCCTCAATCCTTCCTGGAGTTCATTAATAAAGCTCTTCCTGTCCAATTAGTTTCCAGGGATGTGTTTCCTTTTCATTGTCCCAGTTGTTATCTCTGCTGTTTCTGGGCTTCACAAGGAGAAACATAGATAGGACGTCAGCCATGTTGGTGACATACCAGGGGGTCAGACTAAAGATATGCCTGTGTGTGAAGAACAGTATTTACCAAAATAATGCTTCACTTCACTAGGCAAAGCCACAGAGAGCGCGTCATCATTTTCCTGTTTGTTAAAAGATTTTTCTCCTGCAGCTGACTTTGTAGTTAAATTTAACAAAAAAAATTCTGATTCTTAAAAACTTTTAAAGGTTTGAATTTCCTCCTGAATCCATGCCTGCACTGCACTTTAAATGCCCACATATTGATTTATAATATTAGCCAAAGAATTTTTTCTTCTCTCTTTCCCATTAAGAGTTTTATCGATAAGCAAGAACTTAAAAATTAATAATTCTTTGTGGTTGTCTATAAATAAAGCATCCATCTTAGTGCCTGGTATTTTTACTGTATTATTTGTTAAAACTTTGAAAAATGGCGAGTATCTTTTACCACAAGATTAGTGAACTTTCCTCAGATTCAGGCCCAGAGAGCCAACCCTCAGTGCAGAAAATACAGATAGCTGCTTGGAGACCTCGTGTCACCGAGAGGACGTGGTTAAGAATTTAGAGTACAATTTGACATGTGAGAGTTACGACTCTCGTCTTTCTCTCACCCTGCCTCAAAAGTTTTTATTTAATCCTGAAAATAGTAATCTTTGTTGCCCGTAAAGTTTTAAGTATTTTAGTAAAATCTGTTCTCATACTCTGCAGAAACCTAAACATACTTCTTTCTATGCAGTTTAATACAATTTCCTGCCTCTTGAGACTTGTAAAAAGTGGGAGATCACACATCTACGTTTGAGGTTGTTAATTGATGAATATACATAAGAAGAAACAAAGGCTGGGGCTACTTCTATGATTAACTAAAAACTCAGGGAACAGTGGCATTGCTTTCAAGTGTGCTTTTGTCTGATAGCTTCCTAGGGGAGCAGCCTTTAGACAAAAGAGGGCAAGTCACGTACACCACGTGCCCTGTGGAATGGAAGGGAGAAATTCGTTAGAGCGCTCACCTGCTCTCCTCTTCCTTTGCAGGAAAGAGAAAATGCAGAGCTTAAAATGGGAAACTCCAGGTTATTTTATATCTGTGCTAATTTTTGCAACCCACTTTTCACTTTAAAATTATAGTTGTCACTGTAGGTTACGTACAACAAGAACTTGTAGCATGAGTGAGGATTTCTTCCTTATTTCTTTGAGCTTTAGGCAAATATTAATAAATGATTTTATTCTATTCCTAAAAGAAAACGTGAAGGTCATACCAGCAAGTGAGTTTATTTAAAAGTCGAAATGTGCCCTTGCATGCATCATGCTTCAGTCGTGTCCGATAGGGTATCGATGGTAATACAGATGATCCATCATCTTTCCAGGGATGGTGATTCTGAGCTTCGTAAGTGTTTGGTGTAGCAATCAGTAATGTTGGCACTGGCTGATGGGAAACAAAACTTCAGAACAATCTGCATTTACCTTTCTTATTTGTGAACATCTGTTTCTCAAGGCTTTGGTTGAATCCCTGGTTTTTTCCTGGACAAGTCGTAATTAGTTGTGAGCTCTTTGAGGGGAAGGACCATGTCTTCCTGATCTTTTATTCCCAGCCCCACAAACTGTGCCTGGCAGTAAATGTTTGAATGAATTCCATCTTGTAGTGCTCTCTTGCCACTTTGTCTTTCATTTAAATGATGGGATATAAAACTTATTGTATAGCTCCAAAGAAGGGCTAACTATTGTAGCATACACTAGTTACGATTTGTTAGAATCTAATTTACTTTACCGATGAAGAGCCCAAGGGTCAGACCCAGGATTCCAACACAGTCCATCTGGCTCCTGTGTGCACTGTGCACTGCACTGCCCTGCCCCCACTAGCATGACAAAATACTTTCTGAGCCATTCATTTCCATTGGTTGTGATTACTTATATAGCATTTTCCTCTTTCATCCTCGAATTGCTGTACCAGAGACACAATTAGTAGTTCAGTTTTGGTGGTTTCAACCTTCTGGCATATTTGTTTTAATTTGGCTGTGGCCATCCAGTAGCAGATTTTGTGGCCTACCTTCCTCTAAATTGTACCATGATCAGTATCCTCCAGTTTCAGTTTCTCAGCCAGGTTAGACATGATATTATATGATGATTTCAGGAATTTTTTTCTGTGATGAAAATATTTGACAATTACAGTCATTTCTCTATAGGATTTCCATTTTTGTGCTTTGCTTCAATACTGGTTTTCTCTATACCTATAGTCATTCTTCTCCCATGACATCTAGATGTGTTGCACATGGACTTAGGACTTTCGTTGGCCAACGTTTGAAACCTTTTCTTTAATTGTTCTAATTCGTTGTCCCAAAATGGGGAAGTCGTTTTGTAATAGTTCTTCCCTCCTAAATTGTCTGATGAGTAAAATAACTAATATATTTGCTGTTGAGAATTCACACTGTTGATTCAAGGAAAATATTTTTAATAAGCTTTGGATTACTTATAAAAAGCCGTTCCACTTAAAAGTAATTTCTACTGTAAAAGTTAACAAATGTTAAATTGAAATCATGGATATATGGGTATCATTTACTTTTATCTGGTTTAATAATTTTTAAAAGTAATTTCTCAGGGTTCCTCCTAGATTTAAAGTACTTGAATGGACCTCGATAACATCTAACACTGTACCTTTAAGAGTATATAGCCCAGGGGATGGCCCAGTGGCTGAGTGGTTAAGTTCTAGAGCTCCGCTGCAGCGGCCCAGGGTTTCGCCGGTTCAGATCCTGGGCGCGGACGTGGCACCACTCATCAAGCCATGCTGAGGTGGTGTCCTGCATGCCACAACTAGAAGGACCCACAACTAAAATATACAGTTATGTACCAGGGGGCTTTGGGGAGAAAAGGGAAAAATAAAAACTTAAAAAATAGCCCCGCCTTTTTTTTTTTTTTTTTTTTGCTACACAAGGTTTTAGAACTCGGCTCATTGCATGTTCCTTATTAATATGGGTTTTGATAACCATAGACATTCCTCTGAAATATGAGCAGCCTCTCATAAGAGATTAATGTCCTGCCAATAAAGTATGCAAGAGCCCTATACCGTAGCACTGGCATTTATAAAGGTAACATGACATACTAACACAAATAGTATAAATTTTTTCTTAAGTTCAAAATGAGTTCCATAGAATTTCATTATTTTTACACTGCCTCTTTCTAAAAGGATTTGAGGTGATTACACTGATAGGCATTTAATAAAAAACCACATAGAAAATCAGAAGATAATGTGTTATTAGGTAATACCTAGATTTGACTCTGAACTTCCCTGTATCAGTAGCAAAAAAATAATAATAAATATAAAATAGGACAAGATCAAAGCAGCAATTTGACGAGTGATAATGTTTACTTGCTCTCATTTTGTAAAATGTGGAAGAGGTATCTATTCCTCAAGAGACCATGTTTTTCCTGGCTTCAGAGTCTCAAACTTAAGTAAAGAGAACAATTCAAGACTAAATTGATTTAGACATATATAGGATTATTTATGCAGTTAGAAATTTTTATTTTATGAAGAAGTGAACTTAGGAGTTTTTTAGTGGTTAGGTCACGTTACATTTTTCAGGGAAAGCTATTGTAATGGTTGATACAAATTTTACTCGTTATAACACTTATATGTAAGAAATGGCTCTTAAATTATAAGCCTAATTAAACCAGAAACCACCCATCCCTTTCGAGACTGGTGAGAGTCAGCTTAAGTCGTTGTTTAGGGATTCCCCACCTCCCAAAACCACAGAGTTCTCCACATGCATCCCAGGACGGGCGTGGAGGCCTCTTCTTTCTTCAGTCCACACTGGGCCTGACTGATATGCCCAGTATCCAAGCCTTCATGATGTCATAGAGGCACACACCTCTGCTTGTGTTACGGGTTCACCTGGGAGGTTCCACAGGCCTAGAGAGCAGCCTCCCTGTGTAGGGACACAGTGAACTATTTCCCTCTATGGGCCTGCTACCAGCCCAGGGGCTGCTCAGCTTCTGCTACTCCTGAAAGTGTTCCCTCATCCCTTCCTAGTCTAGGCAGTTCTTTCTTCTCTCCTGGAAGCTTCTCTGCCTCCCCATTGCTCTTGACCATGCTTCCCAAAGCTGCTTGCCTTTCTCCCTAACCCTACTCTCCTGGGACAGCCCTACAGTGTCCTTGTCCTCTGAGTGTTCTTAGAACAAGGATGGAAATACCCAACAAGGCCAGAGTACCTGTTCATAGCTCAGTCGTTATCCTACCCCACTGAAATGTGCAAAAAACACTTTTCTCAACATGAGAAATGTATGTTAGGCACTAGTGCATGGTGATCTACAAGAAGTTAGTAATTAGCAACCTAACCTTGAATAAAGGTGTAAG